TGCCCTTTCAACCTAAACATTCCTTATTTACTAAACTAGGGAGAGATTTTGGCTAGCTGAGGTTGTACTGTTACAAGTCTTCTATTTTCAAGTTGTAGGAGCTGTGTTTTCTAAAAATGCAGATATTTATGAGCTCCAGTTGACAAATAATAAGTAGAATACTGTGTGAATAACTGAATCTATTAGAAATTGAAGACTTTGATTTGTCTCAGAATTTTGCATTGTATCACACACTGAAGACATCAGAGATTAATATATTCTAACCTTGGGTGTACCCTAAAGTTATTGGATTTTACAGTAAACTTCTAAGACAAACATTTTCTTCATGAACTCTGTCTTCAATACGAAGTCTACTGTGCTTCCTCAAGGCTTTAATCTGATTAAAACATTTATATCCTTGTTTAGTAGGTTTAGATAGCCAGGGGTGTATTTAATGCAGAGTTTCTCAGTCTTGGCATTATTGGTGTTTCAGGCTGAAAGATTACTGGGGACAGGAAGCTATCCTAGAAATATCTAGTTCTACCAAATAGATGCCAGTAGCATCTCCCCTTCCCAGTTGCAAAAACTGGAAATGTCTCCAGACATTGCCAAATGTCCAATGATAGGCACAGAAGGCCCCGGTTGAGAGTCATCAGTTTAGTGCAAAGCACTTTTCTTTAGCTAAGGCATACTGCAGACGGAATGCAAATGCTACTGCCTGGTTAACCCATTTAAATAAAGTTAAATTTTGCCAAAATGAATCTAAACCCCTCATTGATAGTTAAATGTACCCTCTATTTTGTCGAACTGCTAGATGTTCTTGGCACATTCTGAATGGGGTAATCAGCAGTTTCCTTATATAGGCCACAATTCCTGGGAAATCTCAATAAGTTATCAAAAGAAATGCAAAAGAAAATGGAGTCTGATGATTCAGCTTGTAACTTTCCAGTAGTATCTTCTTACTTCCCAGATTAATTATTCTCTGAGTTCTTTTCCATTGTAGGGCGAAGGTGGTGGTGAAAATGACTCTAACCCTTTTGCGGTTGCACCTTGTATATGGCCTCCTAAGGGATGTTTTTTAATGGCAATTCCTCCCTCCACTCCCACCTCAAGAATATCTGGATTTTTATCATCACCATTTTCAGGTTATATTTTTGATTCTGATACACTTAAAAAAAATGGCTCAAGTCTTTTTAAAGGAGGCAGAAGTAGAACTATATAATCCTTCTGCATAGTTATGTAGGGTGTAGAGTCTTTCAAACAGAAAGCACAGAATAAAGATGTTATCAGATTTGACAGTGTGAGATTCATTCACTCCTGCTCTCCCCTGTATAAAATGATCATGGCAGTGATCAAAGGCTTATCATCTGAGGTCTGGATGTTGTTTAGGCAATCCTATATCACACACAGCAACAACGGAGATAGGCTTTGTGAAAGTACACAGAAACCTAAAGAATTTTAAGATGATGGCGCATTCCTGTAATCCCAGCAGCTTGGGAGGCTCAGACAGGAAGATCAGGAGTTCAAAGTCAGCCTCAGCAATGGTGAGGTGCTGAGCAATTCAGTGAGACCCTGCCGCTAACTAAAATACAAAAATAGTGCTGGGGATTGGCTCAGTGGCCGAGTGCTCCTGAGTTCAACCCTAGTACCAAAAAATAAGAAGAAGTTTAAGACATATTACACAGTGTGTTGCTAATTTTCGAGAATGCTGCTTTATATGTGTTTAAGAGGCATATTGCCATTTGACATTTTTGCCTTTAAATACAAATAGGTGATCTCTCAACAAAAATAAAATAGGCCTGTATTATTCAGATAGTTTGCTTTCTTAAAAAAAAAAAAGTCTCACTTCTGCTTCTAGCCAGTATGGAGTACAAGGGCTGGATTTATACTCCCACCTTATACAATTAAAGATCTGAAAAAATTACAAAAGAACAGTTTTCATGACAGTGGATACTAGATAATGGAAGGCAGTGATTGTAGACAGTTAGGAAACACGTATAATGAGTCTTATAATTGTATTAGCTTCCTCCCTTGAGAGACCTCCAAGCTATAGTTCAGAGATGAGAAAACCAGGAGGCACCCAACATATTCCTAGAGTGGAAGAGATGGAGCTGAGCATTTGGAAAACCCAAGAAGGCTATGGGTCACATAGAGACCACAAGAGATGAACAAAGATCACCAAAGATGTTGCAGGGGTTCTCATGTATTCTGAAGAATAGTGACTAGTGAATGAATGTGAGGAAGCTACCCAAGCCCCTGAGGTGAAAGGGAAGAAAACATCCAAAATGGTCAAAGAAAAAAAATCATCTGATTCTCACATAGGATTTGGTGGAGGGTGCGGAATCCAGACAAAGACTGTCTGCATCAGGCTGACTGGAAAAGTTCATAAATTTCCCACATTGGGGAAAGTATTCAGAAGATTTTTGCCTTAGTAATGGAGGATAATTGTCCCTTCATGAAACATTGCTCCAGACTTGCCTAACAAATCTTAAAAGCAAGTCATGAAAGGAACAAGCTGTTTCTAAGTAACTTAACTGCATCCCAGAACAAAGCTCAAGAATATTTATAAGAATATAAAAATATCCAGCACTCAACAAGGTCAAATTCATGATATCTGGCATCCAATCAAAAATTACTAGGCTTGAAGAACAGCTTAAAAATATGACTTATAATGAGGATAAAAATCAATCCATCAAAACTGATAGCTACAGAACTGAAACAGATGTTAGAATTAGCAGACAAGAGCCTTAAAACAGTTATTTTAACTCTGTATGCTTGAAGGTTATTTATATAATTTACCCATCTCAAATTTAATTTCTAAATAGGAAAATTATAGTACTTGAGATGGAAAAAAAAAACCCACTAGATGTGATAACCAGGGGATTAGACATTGCAAAAGGAAAGATTAGTCAACCTGAAGACATAGCAATAGAAATCCAAAGTAAACAGAAAATAATTCTAGATGAACAGATTATCAATGACCTTTGCAAAAAATTCAAGAATCCTAATGTAAATGTAATGAGAGTCTCCGAGAGGAGGAAGTAGACAGAAATAAAAAAAATTAAAGAAATAATGTCTAGAAAATTTTTAAATTTAAGGAAAAATATAAACCTGTAGATCTATGATTGCAACAAACCCAAAGCACTAGGAACAAAATGAAAACAATACTAAGAAAAATCATGACCAAACTACTTAAAACTAGCAAGAAAAGAAACACTTAAAAGCAACCAGAAGAAAAAGATATATATGTATACTTATAGAGTAATTAAGCTAAGTATGACTTCAGATTTCTCATCAGAAATAAAACTCACCTGAAATGATCATTCACAAGACTTGCCTTGGACTTTTGCTAACTTTCCACGTACATAAGTTGGAACTCCTCATATGAGGAAAGACATGAAGGAGAAACAAAATGTGAAGGACCTTTGTCCCCAAATTCAGGAAACAGAGCTGGCTGACAGTGCAGACCACTCACTGGAAACTGACACTGAGAGACAAATTAAAGGTTATGATTTTTTTCAAATGTTTGTATTTTGAGATTTTACTGATACTGCGGATTAGCCTTTTCTTACTTAACACAATTATTTTTAAGGCTGTAAATTTATGTCTTTTGCATTAAGCTCTTTAATTGAAAGTTTTTTCCATACAAAGACAGAATTGATCTAGAGCTTTCTAGAAAGGCCATTGTTTCCTCAGTAATTTGAAAAGCTAACTTTTAAATTTCATATGGCTCGCATCTATTGGTGCCTTTCTGGGTTTTCTATTCCATTGTCTGTTTTTCTATACAATGATATTCATGCACTAATTACATACGTTTATACAATGACTTGATATCTGGTAAGACATGTGCTCTTTTTTCCTCTTTCTTTAGTGTTTCTTGATTCTTCCTACCCCATTGAATTTCCAAATAAATTTTATAGTCAGTTTTTTAAAAATATGTGATGTTATTGAGAGTTGCAGTTAGATCATTCATTTCAACCTGTCTTATTACAGACCAAGATGTGTAAAAGTATCCAGTTCTATAAGAAGGGTGGGTCTAGAGGGACTTTTTAATCTTCACAGCAGTAGTGGCAAGGGAGATATGATAGTGAAGGAGTGACAGTCTGCGAGCCTCGTGGGCGTCTCCGGGTCAGATATCCTCCCTCTCCCTCTAAGGGTTAGCCTCCATTCACTTAGGGTGCAGACCATGTCAATATAACTTCACCACTGTGACCACATTTGAGGGCATAGCAAGTGTATATTCAGAGTTCTTTCAAGGCCTGGAGGAGACTAATCATTGTCAGATTCTCAGAGAGTAAATACAGTACTTAATTTACTCTTAATCATTTCAGTCAATGCCTTGGCTAACTAAAGGGTTGAATTCTCTGTAACTCCATTTTAATAATATCTTGAGGAATTCAGACAATTTATTTTACATGTATCAATTTTTGAGTGCCTGCTTAGCTTTAGGTATTATTCTAACTACTGAATATTCAGCAGTAAGAGGAAAAAAATATATATGTATATACATATGTGTGTGTGTTTTGTGTATATATACACACAAAACACACACATACCCTTCTCTCATGGGAAAATCCAACGTTTAAACAAATATAAACATTTAAACATAAATATTTAACTTACAGTCATTTTCACTGCTATGAAGGGATACAGTAGGGTTTCATGTGAAAGTAACTGCAGGGAGAACATGGAGATAATATACTTTTTGTGTATTAGAGTATATCATGTACAAATGAAACCTCATTTAACCAGTCATTGAAAGGATTTATGTAACAAAATATACATGATTTTTCATATAATTAATCCATTCATTCATTTATCTCACATTATTTGTATTCATAGAGCACTATAATGGTCCAGATATGAGGCTGACAAAAATGACCAAGGCTCAGTTTCTATCTTTGAGGAGCTCCTAGTTTAATTATTTAATAATTGGCAGTACACTTGATAAAATAATTGCATATCAAATGGAAACCAATCTGTCCCTAAACTTTCTCATCCTTTCCATTTGCTTCTTCTAGATGAGGATAGGCATTCACTCGGGCTCCGTGCTGGCTGGTGTTGTTGGGGTGAGAATGCCACGATATTGCCTGTTTGGAAATAATGTCACTCTGGCAAGCAAATTCGAATCTGGAAGTCATCCTCGGCGTATCAACGTCAGCCCAACAACCTACCAGTAAGTGTTCTCTGCCCTCTGTCCTCCCACCCCTGACTTTGACTAGAGCTGATATCCTGTTGTGAGAAGAATTTTTCTTCATCTTATCATTCTCCAAGATATTATATGTAGATCCACCCAGTCTAAAAGATAATAATTGTGACACAGACTTTTATTTGAACCTTGAGAGAGTGCATGGAAAATCTGACTTGACTGAGGTAAATATAGGTTTGTGATTCCCCACAGTCTCTGTCTCTCTGCAGTATATCTGTTTAAAATACAAGAGAGCAAATGTTAACGGTCTGAATTACACTTTTGTAAAATCCCAATGTTTTTAAAATTTTCCTCAATGTTTATAACAATCAAAGGGATAAGATAAGAAAGGTAGCTCATTTGTTTTCATTCTTTGGAATAATGAATATAAATAAATAAGAGCTCTGAAGTAAGATATATACTGAGTTCAGAATAAAACTTAAACTGTATTTATCTTAAAGGTCATTTTTGACAGTACTACACAATTTGGCCTCCTGAAATTATCCTTATTTTATGTCTGGTTCATGTCCTCTCCCCTACTATATTTAAGCTTCATATAAGCAGAGACGATGTTGATTTGGATCATCATTATAACCCAGGACTTAGGAAAAATGCATAGAACATAACAAGCACTCTACAAATATTTGTTTGTTTGTTTGTATTTTTATTGGTGCATTATAATTATAAATAAAAGTATAATTTATTGTTTCATATTTGTACATGCACACAAGATAGAAATACAGTACAAATGTTTATTGAATTAATGAATAAATGCTCAACAATAGAGACATATTTCAAATAAGTGGCCAACTTCTCTTGTAGAGATCTCAATAATGGTACTTTGTGCTCTAGTTCATGGAGCAAGGAACTTAAATCAATTATTTCATTTCTGTCTTCTTACCATGATCACAATATTTCCCATGATGGTGTTAATACTTATTTTTCATATTTGGATAACAATGTAGATGTATATATTTTGTGGAAGCTTCACTTTTTAGAAAGAGATGACATGTAAAGAATGGGCCAAAGATCCAGGTACGGTGGCACATGCCTGGAATCCCAGTGGCTTGGGAGGCTGAGGCAGGAGGTTCGAGAGTTCAAAGCCAGCCTCAGCAATGTCGACATGCTAAGCAACTCAGTGAGACCCTGTCTCTAAATAAAATACAAAATACAAAACATACTCCAGTCAGAATGGCAATCATCAAGAATACAAGCAACAGCACTCACTTTGGAAGCACTGGAATAATACAGAGAAGATTAGCATGGCTCCTGTGCAAGGATGACATGCAAATTTGTGAAGCATTCCATATTTTTTCATTGTCCAAAGTACATGAATGAAGACACAAATTGTGTGAATATACTTTGTATACAACTAGAGATATGAAAAATTGTGCCCTATATGCATGATATGAATTGTAATGCATCCCACTGTCATATATAACAAATTAGAATTAAAAATTTTAAAAAGTACAAGTAGCAGTAAGTGTTGGTGAAGATGCAGGGCAAAAAAGGTACACTCATACATTGCTGGTGGTATTGCAAATTCATGCAACCACTCTGGAAAGCAGTATGGAGATTCCTTAGAAAACTTGGAATGGAACCTCCTTTTGCCCCAGCTATACCACTCCTCGATGTATACCCAAATGTCTTAAAATCAGCATACTTTAGTGGCACAGCCACATCAATGTTTATTGCAGCTCAATTCACAATAGCTAAACTGTGGAACCAACCTAGATGCCCTTCAATAGATGAATGGATAAAGAAACTGTGGTATATATACACAATGAAATATTACTCAATTTTAAAAGAGAATAAAATTATGGCATTTGCAGGTAAACGGATGGAGTTGGAGAATATCATGCTAAGTGAAGTAAGCCAATCTCAAAAAAACAAAGTCCAAATGTTCTCTCTGATAAGTGGATGCTGACCTATAATGGGGGGCGGGGTGGGGGCAGGGGAAGAATTCCGAGAACTTTGGAGTGGGAAAAGAGGAGGGTGATAGGGGAGGGAGCATGGGAGTAGGAATGAGAAGGACAACATTACCTTAGGTACATGTATGATTGCACAAATGGTCCAACTCTACATAGTGTACAACCAGAGAAATGAAGTTTGATTCTATTTGTGTACAATGAAACAAAATGCATTCTGCTGTGATGTATAACTAATTAGAAAAAAAAACATTTAAATGTTTAAAAAAGTAAAATACAAAATAGGGTTGGGATGTGTCTCAGTGGTCAAGTGCTCCATAATGCAATTTCCGATACCCCCGCCCCCCCMAAAAAAATAGGCCAATGGTGTGGGAAATTTGCGCTCTCAGCTTAGACATCATAACTCTTCCTGGCTTTGTTTACGTGTGATCCCAAAGGAACCCCTCCAAATCACACAAGACCTGTGCCCTTTGATGCCGATTCTGAGTTTTCATAATATTTTTTTACGTTAATTGAGTTTGTGATGATCCTTAGTGGAATTAAATGATTCCAACAACTCCAAACATGGGAGCATTTTGTTCTGTTATTGTCCCAAGACCTGCCAAAATAATCAAATGGAGCCATAGATAGACACATTGTGCTGCCAAGTGGGTAGTTTCTAAAATACATTAACTCTGGCCCCAAATCATGTTATTCCTAATAATTATACAATACTTGAACATTCAGTCTATCTTCAAAATAACTTCTTCCTCACTCTTTACCTATGCCTTATCAACCGTCCATTCTTTAACAAATATTTGTTGATCATCTACTATATTCCAAACACTATATTAGGCACTAAGGATACAATAATGCAGAGCCTAAATCTGATCTCTGTCCTTGTGAAGGAGATCAAAGACTAGCTGGTACCTGAGTAAATAAGTAACTATTACAAGCAAATGTGGAGATCAAGAAACCCTGAATTACAGTATTAGAGCAAGAGGAAGGGTAGGCTAAAAAAGGATGGAGAAATAAACCGAAATCAGACCAGCAGCTCAAGGTAAATAACATTCAGGGGTTTCTATCCACTTTTGTCAGCTGTTTCACCACTGTGACCAAAAGACCTGACAAGAACGATTTTAGAGGGAGAGAAGTTTATTTGGCACTCATGGTTTCAGAGTTCTCAGTCCATAGACAACTGGCTCCATTGCTCTAAGCCTAAGGTGAGGCAGAACAACATCATGACATAAGAGTGTGGAGAAAAGTGGATCAGGACATGACAATCAGGAAGCAGAGAGTGAGCATTCCTTACCAGGGACAAAATATAAACCCCAAGGGAACACCCCCAATGTCCCACCCCTGCCTGCCTATAGTCACCGCCAACCAGTTAATCCCTATCCATGGATTAATGCACTAAATTAAGGCTCTCATAACCCGATCATTTCACCTCTAAACTTTCTTGCACTGTCTCAMTTGAGCTTTTGTGGGAGACTGCATATCCAAACCACAACACTACCTAGTCCCTAAGATCAATAAATGACCTTGAGATGTTTAAAGCAGAGGAGGGGCTGGACCAAATTTGTGTTTTTAAAAGATTATAGGAAGGAGAACAATTGCAGGGTTGGGCCAGGTTGAGGTAGAGAAGCAATCCAATAGCTGAGAGCAGGCTCTGCTATCCACATTTCACTGACAGTCCCAACCACCTGCTGTTTCTACTTGTCTTCCCATGCTTCAGCAGAGTGGCTGTACTCAGTGACTTTGATGTTCATTTTAATCAGGTGTGTCATAGAGAGAAAGAGAGTAACTTAGCTCCTGGTAAATCTTTGGACAGTCAGAGTCTCAGATCTCAATGTGATTGAATTTCAGTGTGTGGGTCTGTTTGTGCCTGAATACTCACTCTTGTGTCCTTCTACCCTCATCTCTACAGTCCAGTCTTGGGAAATTCTGCTATTCCAGGCTACACAGGCAGTTTATAAGCCAATAGAATGTACTTCTCCTTCCACTGAACCCCCAAAGTGAAATGCTAGCATTGAACTTGCTGGGACATGCTCTATCAGATGGCAAATTTGACCTCTCGGAGCAAATAAGAATTTTTGAAGTAAAACTGTGTTTAAAGCTTATGAGAGCTTGACATTTTCAGTTTTCATCTTTGAAATTAAATCTTGTAGAATGTCCAGTATTTCCTGGTTATCTTGAAAACTTTAGAGAGGTTCTTACACAATTTATTTTTAGTAAAATTATTTGATTATCATAAACTTTTTGAGAATGGATTAATTTGATATTTTGATAAACTGAAATAATTTTCTAGATAGTTGATTCAGAATATGCTTTACCTGGAAATACTCAAGTAATTGATTAAAAAATACTTATGACAACTGCGAAGAAAAGAAAGCTAAAAGATAGCATTTTTATGATCTCACTGTTGGTTTAATACCATATTTGCATCAGCTATTTTTAAAAATGGAAATGCATAAAACATCTCTTTGGAAAAGTCCCTCCCTTTTATTGAAACAAATATCTGAATGAATTAGATGTGGTCTAAAATCCAGGGGTTTGTATATTGACTTTCTACGTATGTATTTATAAACAATATAATTTTATTTTAGTTTTTTAAGTTTTTATAAGTGGTATTTTACTATATAACTCTTTCTCTAATTTTGAATTATTTTAAACAATAATTCATACTTTTAGGATCTATCCATGATAAAACATACAACTTTAACTCATCATTTAATGACTATATGACAGTCTAGTGTATAACTACTCTGTATTTTAATTTTTTATTTATTCCTCAATTGATGAACATGTAGGTTTATTTTCTACTTTCTAATATTAGAAAGGGTATTCTTACGAACATTATTTACCTGTCCACATTAGATTACATTTCATGCAAGACAATAATAGCTTACTCAAGGTTACTAGAATCAAAGTGATCAAATGTTGTTTATCTTGAACGTCATTGTAGACACAGGGAATAAAGTCTGTAAAATCAAGACCACGACTTTGGCAAGAGAGCCCTCATTTTTCTAGATTTTATGTGTGTGAGTCATCTTGTGTGCATGCAGTAATGCCCGAGGACCATTTATTTCCTCTTCACCTAGAGCACTTTATTGTTAATTTTATTCTTCCACAAAAAGAAATCTTTATGGAGTCTCAAGTTTTCCACATTTGATGTTTTCATATTTCCTCAATAAATGTGATATTTTTACTCATCTTTATTCCTACTCATTCCTATTTTAAAATAATGCACATATTACAAACAATTGTTATAACATTGTGCTACTGATGTGTGAAAATGAAATAGTTGTTTATATTAAGAATGGCTTCAGCAAATTTTGAAGTGGCATGAATAATTGAATGATTTGCCTGAGCAGAGTTAATTGTTTTTCCTTGCTATATGCAAACTAAAAATGAAGAAAGACTCTTTAATTATTTTGATATGAAATTTTCTTAACTTTTAAACATTTTTGCTTTTCTCATTTTACAATTGATCAACTTCTGGACTTTCTGTAATGTCTATTTTTCCTTCACTCTAAAAGTGTTAAAACCGTGCTGCCTTCTCAGTATTGCTACATGAGCAGCCCCTTAGATTAGAGAATATACAATGGATCAGAATTGAGCAACAGTTAAGTGCACAAGCTCAGAATTAAATGCCTCAGTTAGCATCCTGGCTCACACTCAGTATCTCCAAAATTTAGCAACTTAACTTCTTTGGACCAAGTTTGATCATCTTTATAATGAGCACCTATTTCAGAAAATTGCTGGTAGGATTTAATGTGATGTTTATATAGCTCATTGTACTTGGAACATAGTAGATATTTGCTTCATCCTGTTCTTGCTGTGAATAAAAAGATCATCTTATTTCTTCACTTGATTCTCATGTTTTATCACTTTAGCCACATTGAATGATGAGTGATAACTAGATTACAGACCTCAGCTGACAATCCTGGGCATAGAGTGAGTTTGGCAATTTGGCCCAAACCATTTAAGTTCTGACTCAGAACTGAACTAGTGATCAGTTTTTTTCTCCTATAAGTTTTTATTAGCAAAGGCATCTTACTGATGATCTAACTCAGTCATGGGATTAAAACTGGCTGTTTTCTTTTGAAAAATCCCCAAATTCAAGCAGATTTCCATAGTTATTTCAATTAATCAATACATAAATAGATGTTTGTTTATAGATATACAGAAATAATTACTTTCTAATTAGATTAATTGCTTACTATTGGCTTCAGCAACATATCTATATCTATATCTATATATATATATATATATTTTTTTTTTAAATCTTACAGTTATGTAGGATATACGTCTGACTGACATGGGTCTCACTTGGTAAAATCAAATTGTCATTAGGGCTGCACACTTACTGCAAGTGCTAGGAGATGATGCACTTTCTTACTTTTT